AGAATTTGAAGAATTTGAAGAAGAAGAATTTGAAGAAGAATTTGAAGAAGAATTTGAAGAAGAAGAATTTAAAGAAGAAGAAGAATTTGAAGAAGAAGAAGAATTTGAAGAAGAAGAAGAAGAATTTAAAGAAGAAGGAGAATTTGAAGAAGTTGAAGAAGAATTTGAAAAAAAAGAATTTAAAGAAGAAGAAGAATTTGAAGAATTTGAAGGAGAAGAATTTAAAGAAGAAGAATTTGAAGGAGAAGAATTTGAAGAAGAATTTGAAGAAGAATTTGAAGAAAAAGAATTTTAAGAAGAAGAAGAATTTGAAGAAGAAGAAGAATTTGAAGAAGAAGAAGGAGAATTTGAAGAAGAATTTGAAGAAGAATTTGAAAAAGAATTTGAAGAAAAAGAAGAATTTGAAGAAGAATTTGAAAAAGAATTTGAAGAAGAAGAATTTGAAGAAGAAGAAGAATTTGAAGAAGAATTTGAAGAAAAAGAATTTAAAGAAGAAGAAGAATTTGAAGAATTTGAAGGAGAAGAATTTGAAGAAGAATTTGAAGAAAAAGAATTTAAAGAAGAAGAAGAATTTGAAGAAGAAGAAGAATTTGAAGAAGAATTTGAAGAAAAAGGAATTTAAAGAAGAAGAAGAATTTGAAGAAGAATTTGAAGAAAAATTTGAAGAAAAATTTGAAGAAGAAGAAGTATTTGAAGAAGAAGAAGAAGAATAATTTAAAGAAGAAGGAGAATTTGAAGAAGAATTTGAAGAAGAATTTGAAGAAGAATTTGAAGAAAAAGAATTTAAAGAAGAAGAAGAATTTGAAGAAGAATTTGAAGAAGAAGAAGAATTTGAAGAAGAATTTGAAGAAAAAGAATTTAAAGAAGAAGAAGAATTTGAAGAAGAATTTGAAGAAAAAGAATTTAAAGAAGAAGAAGAATTTGAAGAAGAATTTGAAGAAGAAGAATTTGAAGAAGAATTTGAAGAAGAAGAAGAAGAAGAAGAATTTAAAGAAGAAGGAGAATTTGAAGAAGAATTTGAAGTAGAATTTGAAGAATTTGAAGAAGAATTTGAAGAAGAAGAATTTAAAGAAGAAGGAGAATTTGAAGAAGAAGAAGAAGAATTTGAAGGAGAAGAATTTGAAGAAGAATAATTTGAAGAAAAAGAATTTGAATAATTTGAATAATAATAATAATAATAATAATAATAATAATAATTATTATTATTATTATTATTATTAGGGAAAAGAACTTGCTAAAATGCGATTGGTTCAAGTCTTGGGTCAGGCAGATGTGCAGCATAACCGAAAATTGGTGACGACATATTTTGAAACTTTCTCGCAAGGACACTAGATATGACATCGAAACTATAATAATATACTCACATAGATTAAATGAAAGTTTCTGTTGCACTCTGACCGAAAGTTACCGAATGCAATAGACTCCCAAGGAAGGTCGTCGAGTGTAGCGGCTGAAACAATGTGATAAAAAACAAAGACATGGAAGTCAATCGGAATTTAATCTTTTCATAAAAGTCACTTGAACGAAGTCACGTAACAGCCAGTAGGAAATCGAAGTAAAATTATATATGTATATATATGTGTGTGTGTGTGTGTGTGTGTGTGTGTGTGTGTGTGTGTGTGTGTGTGTGTGTGTGTGTGTGTGCAGATATATAGAAAATAGGAAAGAACACGTTAGGTAAATAATCCAGAGTTCTTTAGTATTTTTGTTTTTATTTAAAAAAAAAAAAAAAACAGTGCTCCATACAGAAATAGAACTTAAATTATAATTATTTAAAAAAAAATATGATTCCTTCGCTACATAAGAGTTCTCCTGTTTCAAAAACGAGAGCCGAATACCTCAATATAATTATTAAAATCAAATTGAGTTAAAGTATCAAGCCCTGTTTCATCGTCAAGCGAAAATTTAAGAATGTTTAAGACTTTAGGATTTTAAGATTTTAAATTTTTTGAGGATGAAACAGGGCTTGATACTTTAACTCAATTTGATTTGAGGGTTTTGTTTTTGAAAACATGAGAACTTTAAAGAAAAGGGAATTTTTTAAAATAATTATATATATATATATATATATATATATATATATATATATATAATTATTTATTTAAAATATGATTCCAAAACGCGACATAAGAAGTCTCATGTTTCAAAACAAGAGCCGAAAACTTCAATATAATTATTTAAATTAAATTGAGTCAAAATAAGCTCTGTTCCATCTTCAAGCGAAATTTTTTTGGGAATAACGTATATCTGAAATTTACGTGTTTTAAAAATTAAAATAAAAATTTCCATGGTAACAGCTAGGGCGAATTGTTTAAATTGGGTAGGCGTGTGTTGGGTGTTAATAATAAGTATCAGTATAGAGTTACTTTCATAGATGTCAAGTCAAGGAAAGGTAGGGGTGTCTAAATTTTAAACGGAAGATGTATTAACCCTCGTCTAGTTTGCATGTCTATGGAGATTTATTTATTTTTTTATTTTAGTTTTTTATGAAAGGGATTTGTGCATATAAAAAAACAAAAAAAAAACTGTCGTAACGTTTGTTTCAACCATGAATCTGATGATGTCTACAAAAAACCGTTAAGGGACTTTGGATTATTTACCTAACCAGTTCCTTCCTATTTTCTATAAATTTTCACATATTATATATACAGTGTAGCCCGGATATAAGAGAGTTGTCAGGACCGGAGAAGTCTCTTATATCCGAGTTTCTCTTATATCCGGGTTTGGTCTATTTTATATACATTAACACAGGCTCTAATTTTGGACCAGAGACAATCTCTCTTGTATCCGGGTTTCTCTTATATCCGGGTCTCTTATATCCTATTATATATATATATATATATATATATATATATATATATATATATATATATATATATATATATATTTACACACGTTATTTTTATAAATACATACATTTAAGTAAATGCTCTGTTTATAATAAATAGTATTAACTACATTTACTGTTGACTTTGCTCACCAGACGCTTCCTCTGTAACTAAATTATATAGCACATCAGGCCAAATGACAGTTCCGTGTAGGCTAGAGGTTCGATTCTTGTCGGAAGACACATATTTTCTATGAAATTTCTCGGACATTCAGGCCAGTAAATGTAGTTAATAAGATTTATTATAAACAGAGCTTTTACTTAAATATGTGCATCTATAAAATATATTAAAAATAATATATTAAAATAATTCCTGACTTAGTCCATTTCCTCATATATATATATATATATATATATATATATATATATATATATATATATATATTGAGTTAAATATCGCCCTATCAGACAGTATTTAAGCTAGCTCCTGCGGAGGGTTCTTAATTAGGCATAGCAATGATACTTCATGCATCGAGTCCATAATTTTGTTACACTTGTACAATATATTTCAAACAACAGTTTTTATCAAAACACTGATATAATTTGTCTATTTGCAACTTGTTCCAATGCTGCATGATAAACAATATTTTTGGCTTTCCCATTCGGGATCAATCCAAATAGCTTGTTTCCATTTGCAACCCTTGAACAACCAACATGGAGCTGGCCTTGAGAAAAGCAGGGTTCCATCAGGTTACTTTCAATGATTGCCCTTGGAACTTATTGATTGACATTGCATAGCCCACCCCCACTGCAAACTGAAATCTTTTAAACTCAAAAGGAAGATCTGGAGGAATTAAGCGGATTCATGGGATCAAAACTCTTTCCTCCTTTCCTGGACCAGTAAGCATCCAAGAGATATGGAAGCATCTTCCTGACTATTAACCTTGTTCCATTACGAAGCTTTGGCGCATTCACATTTCTCGATAGCACAATTGGCACATTTGGTTTTAGTTCCAATTTGTGTAATGGTATTGTTGGAGGATTCAATGAGTTCAGGAAATTCACTGCCTGCTCTTGCTTAGCCATAGTGTCAATAGAAAAGTACTTTTGGGATTTCTTAGAAAAGTTTCCAGTTGATGCTAGCCACAGTTTGATTCTTGGGAGCTAATCTGGCGATCACACAAGGCCAATTTGAATCCATAAAACGGGGGTTAAATGTTTGGATAAACATGCTTGATCAAGTCTTGGAGACAGAACCACCAAAAACATATGGGATTGAAATATCTCTATTTTGGCCCATTTTGATGGTTCCAAGAGGCAACAGAAAAGCAGCAATTCTTCCTGCTTCAAGATCACCTGTGATTCTAACTCTCATGTTTGTTTTCAGGCTGAGTCTTTAAACATGGCTCCAGATGTAAGAATTTTTCAGAGAGTTGTGTCTCTTTAATTGAAAAAAATCTTGCCTTCAGTATGCCCTTGGATTGATTTGTTTTTACGGCTTATCAACCCTTTGCAGGATATTTAAAGACAGTAAATATTTTTAGAAGCTATTTTTTTTAGACAATAATTAGTTCTACTAGTTAACCCATACCTGGGGGAGGTGAGTAGGTGGATTCGTAACTTTCATAAGGGTATTTGCACGTAAGTGAATATAACGAACCCAACTGGAATTGAAACTCGGTTCTTTGATTAACATTTTCGAACCATTATCGATCACACCATCCGCACATCCCAAGCGGTCGCCCATCTAGATACTGACGTTGATCGTACGGGAATCGGTGTTTCAACGTGATATGGCCGTAAGCCTTCGCCTGTTGATACTTTTCTCTAAAATTATTAGTGAAGACTAAAAAAGTAATTAAATATTAGTGGTGCCGAGAGACGAAAAAAGGGCGGGAGTCATCTCGAAGTGAATTGTTCAAAGGTACGTTTCCCGCAAGGCGTGACATGTTTGGCTCATTAACAGTCCTCCTCCACAATCTCTTCTTTCTCCTCGTCACTGGTGGCCGCTGCCATAGCGAGGCATTGCTAGAAGAGACTATATAAACCTGACAGTGGGTGTTGCTTGATACCCTTGATCAGATTATGAACGTTTAAGTTCCATTGTAATGGTATTAACAGTGGTTATTTGCTCAGTTGACAAGTCTTGTTGGATCGATGTTACAAGACGTTTATGGAGCAGAACGCCATTCTTCTCGTTTTCTACTTTTCTTTCTTTCTTTCTTTCTTTCTTTCTTTCTTTCTTTCTTTCTTTCTTTGCTTCGTTCTTTCTTTTTTTTCTTTCCTTCGACCTTTCTTTCTTTCCTTCTGTTTTCTTTTCTTTCTTTCCCTCCAACCTTCATTTCTTTCTTCATTTTCTTCTTCTTTTCTTCTTTATCTCTTTCAGCCCTTCTTTCTTTCCATTCTTTCTTTCTTTCTTTCCTTCCTTCCTTCCTTTTTTGCTTCCTTTTTATTTTCATTCTACTTTCTTTTTCCTTTCTTTCCTTCCTTCTTTCTTTCTTTCTTTCTTTCTTTCTTTCTTTCTTTCTTCTTTCATTCCTTCTATCTTTCTCTTTCTTTCCTACCGTCTTTCTTTGCTTCTTTCTTTCCTTCTATCTTTCTTTCTTTCCTTGATTACTTCTTTAATTTTTTCTTCTTTTTTCCTTCTTTATTTTTCTCTCCTTCCTTCCTTTCTTTATTTCTTTCTTTCTTTCCTTCTCTCTTTTTCTTTCTTTTTTCTTTCTTTCCTTCTGTCGTTCTTTCTTTCTTTCTTTTTCATTTTTTCTTTCCTCCTATTTTTATTTCTCTCCTTCCTTCTTTTTGTTATGTTTTTTCTCGTTTTTTTTTATTTTCTTACATCCTTCTTTCTTTCGTTTTTTTTAATTTTTTTGATCAATGCTTGTCTTTGTTTTCTTTTGTTTGACTTTCTTTCTTTCTTGCATTCATTGCTTTTATTTTCTTCTCTGTTTTGTGTTTATTTTATTTTCCCCTCTTTTTTTCTTTTCTTTTTTTTTTCTTTCTTTCTTTCATATTCTGTTCTATGGCTTGGCTTTTTAAAAATTTTCTTTCCCAGTAAATTTGCTTTTGTTTTTTTGATTTTTTCTATCAGTCGGTCTGTCTGTCTGTCTTTTTTTTCCTGTCTTGCTATTGTTTTCCTATTCTTTCTTTCATTTTCTATTCTATTGTTTGACTTTCCTCAATATCATGTTTTATTGCTCGGCACTTCGTTTTCAGCGATTAAAAAAATAATAATACCAATCAATTTAAATTCGGTTTGAAATACACAAAAGTATTTTGTTTGTTTTTTTTGGGATGAAATATTAATTTTAATTTATTAGTTTTGAATTAAAACTAAAATAAAAGTTCCAGGAAAGATTTTTTTCATTTCTAGAATGCATTTCAAACGTGAGGTATGGCTTTTTTTTTCATTTTTTTTCATGCCTCTATTCGCACCGCTTAGATGATTGCTAACAGCATGAGATGCGGTGTTTTAAAACAATGTACACTTTTGTGAACTATATTTTATTTTTATGTTAGAGTTCTGTCCAATGACATTGACCACTTAATAACTTTTAACTTTTTACTGCACACACACACACACACACACACATGCATACGATTTTAAAACCCATGCCAAATTCACTATAATTGAGAGAATAGAAAAGTTCAGAGCAGATAACATTAGAAAGATTTTAGAGTTCCATGAAAATAAATGGATACGAGGTTTAAAAACACACTATCCAGACGAGCTTAACCACAAATTTAACAATACAGATAGATAAATATATAACCCCACAATTCAGAACCTAGCCTCATTTCTGACCCACACAAGACAGACATGCTTACGGAGGTGTTGAGGCCTCACATTTATACACACAACCACACGAATATACACACTTACACACATCATACTCACCCACTCCCTAAGAACCAAATAACACACACACACTTAACAGAGAGACATTCCCTTTCCAGGAACCAATAAAACTGTCAAAATGACCACGGGAATTTAGAGCAGCATGAATCCATCCATCTCTTATCTCAAATAACAACATAAAAGAGTCTGTTTGACCAACAAAAAGACTGACCAAAATTAATGTTAAAAAAAACAAAAAAAAACAAATGAAAATTACAGATAAAAAGTTCATTTTCCCATCAAGACATTCATTTCTGTAGTTCACTGCTACCACCAAGCAGAAATTTTTTTTCTCCTGATGATGGCCATGTTGGCCGAAAACTAGTCGAGGAATCTAAATGAAATAATAATAAAAACGAAGGAATATTAATATACAAACCCAGTGTATCTGAAGATTTTAATTTTTAATATTTTTTATTTTTATATATATATATATATATATATATATATATATATATAAATATATATATATATATATTTTATTGTTCAATATATATATATATATATATATATATATATATATATATATATAATAATATAATTAATTTATTTAAAATATTTTTTCCCCTACAGTTCTAACCATGTTTCAAAAATGGAAGCTAAAAGCTACGAATTTAATTTTGCAATCAAATTAAAGACATTAGTTTCATTTCATTCTCAAGCGAATTCGCGACTTTTAGCTTCCATTTTTGAAACATGGTTAGAACTGTGTAGCGAAAAAAACATATTTTAAATCAATTAATTTATAATATTAAGGGTCTGTAAATTTACATCGAGCACTATTTTGTAAAAATAAAAATACCTATAAGAACACCAGATTATATATCTTACTGCTCTTTCTTTTTATATATATATATATATATATATATATATATATATATATATATATATCCTCTTTCGCTTTTTTACCAGCATACACTGATAGCCAATTTTGTCTCTTAAATCGAGGAATTTAGCCTAACATTCACCTCTCCTCGGTATGGAAGGGCGACATAGTGAAATCGCGTTGACTCAAAGAGTTAACCAGTTTTGATTGTCTTTGGTCAGGGTCTCAACTTTTAACCTGTGTTTGAAACGCCATTATGAAAACTGATCAGCTTACTACAAGGGTCAGATGTGTCTATAGACTTCATAGAAATTCCCTAGCCAACAAAGTCTCCACATACACTAACTACCTCTTCTGCTTTCATGAATTACGCTAAGTACCAGTTATTGTTTGATATTAAAGTTAAAAGCATTTTGCGATTCAATGCCGAACTGGAGGTTAAAATTATTGACCTAATCGCATATATATATATATATATATATATATATATATATGTGTGTGTGTGTGTGTGTGTGTGTGTGTGTGTGTGTGTGTGTGTTATAAATTAATTGATTTAAAATATGGGTTTTTTTCGCTACACAGTTCTAACCATGTTTCAAAAATGGAAGCTAAAAGCCCCGAATTTAATTTTGTAATTAAATTAAAGACATTAGTTCCATTTCATCCTCAAGCGAATTTTTTGAGTAACTTTTAAAATTACTGGGTTTTAAAGACACAGCTAAAATCATAATTCACGTTTCCAAGGTTACAGAGAAATCCAATTCAACCAGACGAGGGGTGTCTCGTGTTCAGTATGTCTGTATTTTAATTTATCAGTTATTTGTTACGTTTTGGTAGGGGGTAGGGATGTATTTTTCAATGAAATCTAACATCCGTTAAATGCATGTCGTCTAGACATTTTAAAATTTTATATTAATGCTCTGTAAATTTACATTGAGCACTATTTTG